CATACCACTACCAAACCACCACTTGTTCCCTCACCACTCTACCTACTTCACTATTCTATTGTTTACTCTCCCATTCCAATCTTTTATCAAATCAGTTCAAACTTCTAATAGCTCATGATTCAATGTCCATTATGTTCAAATTGGCTAAGATCTGTCACACTTGAACATATTAGGATCTGCTAGATCTGAATTAAATAGGATATGTTGACTTCATCTGATCAGTGAGCTGCCAAGCATGAACTATCAATTGACCTAAAAGTGAATACTCAACTTCATCTATGGTCAACTCTAGGGAGATCAATAGTCAACTTAGTCAATGATCACTCCAATCAATGATCATAGTCAATGATCAACACCTAAGTCAATATTTAACACCAATTTTAATGTTCTCATTGAAGAGGATTGTAGCTTATGATGGTAATCTCTTAATCTCTCATCTATCCTTATAGTTGGGTTGCTTCTATTTGAGGATCTACTCAAAATGGCTTTCACATCTTCAATTACCTTGCATTTTGCTTCCTTAATCTTGACATTCTCGTCCAAACTAGTGTTGTTCTCTTCTTCCAACTTCCTCCTGGTTTTTATGTTAGAAAGGCTGTAAAAAATATCCTCATTTGAATTACTCCCATCATCAGTGATGAAATTTCTTATTTATACCCTTATTTAGCAACATCTTGTTGAGAAGATTACAGATAATTCTTCCTCTTCTATACTTTAGAGATATTTGATTAAAAATTAACCACCCTTATTCTATACTACTTTTCAGTATTAAAATTCTAACTTTAATTTTAAATTCAAACAATTATATATCAATGTGCATGATCATTAAGTAGTAATTATATATCTAAAACTTTTTAGTTTAGATAGGTATGGTAAGATTTTTTTATTGTTGAAATAAAATTAATAATGTATATTGTAATAAAATGATCATTTGATTCAAAACTGATCTAATTTCTATCTTAAGGAATTAAGGAGTGTTAATGTTAGATTTTCCCCACAAGAAATGATAAAGATTTCACTTTGTGGTGTTTCCAGAGGATGGACTTAGCTTTGAGTATTTCTAGAGTTCTAATAAAGAGAATGATGGCAGAGAGTTGAATTTTCTTGGCCTGTTCTTGTAATAATGTTGGTGGGTTGTGCATGATGTTACTGCTTGAATTCAGTTGAGGTGAAACTTACTGTTTAAAGATAACTCCTCTATGTAGTTTGAGTAGTGAAGACCCCTCAATTCTTCTCATTTTTTTATACGAATTTGTTTTCAAGGGTTGAACTTATGTTAGATATAGATATGAAAATTATAAATTAATTAACCATTGGAAAGATGTGAAATTTTATTAAAAATGATGCTTAATGTTTTTTTATCATTTGTGTTCTTCCATCACCTATTTCATTAAAAATAGATAAAACTTTATGACTATAAATCTAATATGATATGGGTAATATCCCAAAATATCATTAAAATAAATTAATATGTAACTGCATTAATGGACAATGTATATGCCTAAAATATATCAATTTAGTCAAATTTTATAGAGATCTAATAACACTACAATAGAATCAATAATTTAGATCTAGATAAGATGATGATTTATCAACCAAATATTATTCAAATTACTTCTAAAACATTTGACCATCCAAAACTTCCAATCTTAGTATTTATGATCATCATTATAGTGATTCAAAATATTTTCATATTATTTTTCAGCATATTTTTATAAAAATATGTGTAATATTGACTCAAGTGGTATGAATTTAATCAATTTTTTGACATAAGATTTATTTTAAATTTGATGATTTAATGTCACGAGAACATAATATACTTTATGAAATTTCATACTCATATTTGTTTCATGAAATATCATTGGCTTAATGCTCTTTATCCCTTACTTTCTCATTTTAATAGTTTTAATAAAAATTTGATGATTTCTATAGTAATATGTAAAATAATAATTTCACATGATGAAATCAAGTAAATCAATTGTGCTGGGTTTGATGTGGATAAGTGGAACATAGAGGGGGAGGATGATGAATTAATTTTTATTTTTTATGTTCTATTCTTTTGTTGTTTGTGTATAGATGTTAACATAGGTTCTTACAAAGTCTCTCTATTTTGAGAATAGATTTATCTAAGTTAAAAAAATTCTAGGTGTATGCACTCTAGTCTCTCTCCCACTTGTCACCAATGTAGGACACGAGTTTTTATATTAGTTCATCTTTCACTAAGTTATGTATAGTTCTAGAAGATTCATAAAACTAAAGCTCACTATTTCTTTCTAAAAATATAATTAATTTAAGAGATCAGTTGCTTAAACACTCATATCTGATCTTTATAGATACCATAAGCCTTCTAGGTACAATTTGACTCTTAGTATCATATGCCTAAGTTAATTACATCAGTCTTCTAGGTAGTAACATACTCTCAACACCTCATGTATTAACTCGAGCCTCTATCCACTTACCACCTTGGTGCCTTAGGGCATGATAGAGAGAGTCAACTTTTGATGCAGAAGTAAACTTAAATCCCACAATGAAGTGAGTAAAATGATGTAGTTTTTAGTCTTCCTTTGAGGCATATTATAATGTGTCTTTGATGAGTGTAGTATGACCTTCTCTTGAGTTTGAGTGGATCAGATAAAAAGACTTTGTCATTTATAATTAATTTTTGTTTCTTATAAATTCACTCCTTATATCCTCCAAAATTTTCTTGTCTTTTTGTTACTTAAGAAACGGTTACACAAATGGCTACTTAAGAAAAGTCACTTGAATGAGACTTTAAAGGCTTGAGAAGCATGTAATACTTCTAAGAGTTCAAAACTGAAGATGTTGACCACACTCTTGGAAGGATGATGGATGGCATGCGAAGCTTTCTCTAGGATTTTCTCTCTCATTTCTTGATCTAATCTAGTGAAAGGCTCTCTTTTGTATTCAGTTTAATAGGAAACAAGAAGTGTCCTAATACCAAGTTGAGTGGTATTTATTGGGTGGAATATGTCTGTAAATTCATAGAAATATCTAATTTTAAACCTTTGAATTTTGATGCATTTATGTTTTATGTTCCTTCCTAGTTATCCTTCCAATGATTTGAATCACCCCTATTTTGTGAAACTAGCTCTTAGTCAAAAACTATTTTAGTCATATGGTTTAGAAACATGGATTATTTTACCCTTAAACAGAATTCTTGACTCATTAATAATGTAAAATTCATAAAATTTGAGGTCTTTGAATTTTGGTGTATTGTTATTGAATCATCATCTTCTTTTGACTATATTCCAAGACGTTACTTTTCATGTAAAGCTATTTACTCAATTTTTAGACATAAATATTTACTACTTTACCTTTATTAAAATATAATAACCAATTATAACTATTAACCCCAGTTATCTTAACATAATTACATTTGAATGAATCAGCTATTCTCAATGGATATCAATCAAGATCAATATTACTAATTTAAAACTATCAAGTTACTTTTTTACAAGAATTGACATTATAAAAAAACATAGGCTTTTAAACCTAATGATATGTATTGTTAGATATCCGCCATATGTTAGATCATTTTCGTGCATGTCATAGTTATTAACTCTTTGTCACGTGCCAATTATGTTGTCAATTTTTTCCAATCATGTGAGTTGTCATATCTTTGCCACGTATCACATCAATTGGCATTGTCAGGCTTTTGCCACTTTTCAAACACCCCTATCTCTCCTCAAGTGGGTAGACATAGGGGTTGACACAGATGACACGTGGGTTCATCCACTTTTTTCTCTTCTCTAATTTTTCTTATAAATTGATTTATTTCATCTGATTTGAGTTAGCTTGATTCTCACTTGGTTTTCAACTTGTATTTTCTTTACTTAAGAATTGAGAAACTTATTTATAAAATGAAATTTTGATATAAATTTTAGGATCTTAATGTTATAATTAACATATTAATATGTATTTCGTGGAAGTTTTATTATCGATTTATATGATTAATTTGTCAATATTAAAGTCATTAAAGCTAACAATAAAGAGAGGTCAACTAGAATGAGGTAAGTAGCTTCTCCCCTCGTGTATTGTCCTAAAAGAGTAAGGATTACGCATCTCATGAGTCCTTTTCTGCTTTCGGTGAGCTTGCTTGATGTTGGCAGAGTAACCTTCAAGGCCAGCACCTGGGGATAAAATGATTAAGATTAGATAGACCCCATCACACAAATGAAAGAAACAAACTGGATCGCCGATGTTTGCTCAAACGCATTGATATTTGACGTCAGCAATCTTCTGCATTGTGTCCACTCCATTTGCCAAAGATTAAAAGCTATAAATGGTCCTGTGCATCGGGGGAGCGAGAGAGAGAGAGAGAGAGAGAGAGAGAGAGAGAGAGAGAGAGAGAGAGAGAGAGAGAGTTGTTCCATTCATGGCCCACGAACATAAACTTGGGTTTAACTTCAGGAACATGAAGTTTCACCACCAACGTCGAACATATTGCAATATGAAAAGGTGGTGCCGTGTCGCTCCTACGGCATCCACACGTTCCTTCATAAACAGCTTCTAAATGTGCATCTTACAAGCTGTCCGCGGCAAGTGATTGATGGCAATGAAAACTTGACTGTGTCCAGCTATCACTATCCTGTTTCTTGTTTAATCATCGTGATGCATTATTTTCGTTAACAAAATGCATTGCTCGTGCACGGTGAGCCTGTCCCACCTCAGACAGAAGGTAGAACCACCCGGAATAAAGAGAGTGATCAAACCTCCTCTGGGAGCACGTTACTTGAACCATGTAGATGGATTTCCGTTGACGCGGTGGTAGGCTTGAGCTCGCTGACCATGTCCGTCTAGGGGGATGATCTTATCACCGATGGAACCTTGTCGAACAATCATCTAGTGATTTAGTGAACTATTTAAATCTGGATTGCAACTGCAATGTGGATGTATGGGGCTTCTCCCCCTTATCTTCCTTTAAGTAATACACAACAGCGCCGCCCCGCTGCAGAAACCCTGGCGACTTCGCTGTGGCTATGGCTTCCTGTGTGATATCCAGCGTGCCAATCCTCCTGCTCCACTTCATCCTCTTTTTCTCAAATCGGCTCGTCGCCGTCCAAACCCAAGAGATCCCGCTGGCCACGCCGGGATCCCAGGGCAGCCGGCTGACAACGTACATCATCCATGTTGATGCGCCACCTCCTCATTTGCGAGCAGACCCCGAGGGTAGGGAGGCCTGGCACAGGTCCTTCTTGCCGGTCCACCTCATGGACTCCGGCGAGCAGCGGCTGCTCTACTCGTACGAGCACGCCATTACTGGCTTCGCCGCCAGATTGACCGAGGAGGAGCTGGCAGTCGTCAGGGAGATGGACGGCTTCCTAGCCGCCTACCCCGACGAGCTCATCCCACTCCAGACGACCCACTCACCAGAATACCTCAAACTGCAGGCCTCCCGCGTGTGGAACAACTCCAACTATGGCGAGGGCGTAATCATCGGCGTCCTCGACTCCGGAATTAATCCGGACCACCCCTCCTTCGTTTGCGATTTGCCCCCGCCTCCCTCTACCTGGAAGGGGCAGTGCGATTTCGGGCCTGACCGATGCAACAGGCTTATCGGTGCGAGGGGCTTCACCCTCGGACTGAGAGCGATGCATGCCGAAGGACTCGCCGGCGAGATTTCTCTGGGAAAAGCACCGTTCGACCCCACTGGACACGGCACACACGTCGCGAGCACCGCTGCGGGGTGCTTTGTCGACGCCGCCGCCGCCTCGTATGGGCAGGCTCAGGGCAAGTGGTCGGCGTGGCTCCCAGGGCCTATCTCTCCGTCTATAAGGTGTGCGATAGCGTTGGCTGTACAAAGAGCGATATCCTGGTGGGTTTCGACGCTGCCATTAGTGATAGGGTCCACGTGGCGTCACTGTCTATCGGTACGTCATCCAGCGACTTCTACAGTGATATGGTTGCTGTTGGCGGCTTTAGGGCGATGGAGGAGGGCATCTTCGTCATCTACGCGGCGGGAAACTACGGGCCGTCCCCGCACACCCTCTCCAACGATTCGCCTTGGCAGCTGACGGTCGGCGCGACGACCATGGACAGGAGCATCCGCGCCACGGTGGGGCTCGGGAATGGGCTAGAGTTCTACAGCGAGTCTCTCCATCAGCCGGGCTACTTCGGCCCAACTCAGCGTCCTCTCGTCCTGGGTGGATCCTGTTCGAAGAACCCCACGGTCAACGTCCGCGGGAAAGTTTTGTTGGATGCCATACCAAACATGAGGCCGACCGACCAAAGTTTGAACGTGAGGAAAGCACGCGGTGCAGCCATGATACTGGCAGACACCGTGAGAGAGGGAAACACGACCCTTGCGGAGGCCCACGTCCTTCCGGTGTCCCGCGTCAGCTCTTACGTCGGATTGGCGATAAAACAATACATCACATCTGGCAGCAATGCGACGGCTACCATCGTCTTCAACGGCACTGTCACCGAAGAGCAGCTCACACCGGCGGTGGCGTACTTCTCTTCGAGGGGGCCCAGCATCCGCAGCCCGGGAATCCTAAAGCCGGACATTGTCGCCCCGGGAGTCAATATCCTTGCGGCGTGGCCTACACCGGTGGGAACCCCCGACGCTCAGTCGTCTTTCTTCGTAATCTCCGGTACCTCCATGGCCACACCCCATGTGAGCGGCATGGCAGCGCTGATCAAGTCCCCTCATCCCACCTGGTCGCCGGCGGCGATCAAGTCGATGCTGATGACCTCGGCGAACCAAGTAGGCAACGCCGGGAAACGGATCGAGGATCACTTGGGGAATCCGGCATCCGGCTTTGACGTAGGTGCCGGCAAGGTGGACGCTCGGGGGGCCATTGACACCAGCGTGGTCTACGAAATCACCTCAAGCGACTACATCGCGTATCTGTGTAGCCTTGGATACACGAGGCTGCAGATTCTAATCATGGTTGGCCACGACGTGAACTGCTCGTCGGTGATTTCTATCAAGGAGGACGAGCTAAACTACCCGACTTTCCGGATCTCCCTGAACGCCGCTAATAACTTCAGACGAGAGGTGACCCGGACGCTGACCAACTTGGGGCCTTTGGAGACGAGCCGCACGACCCTGAACCCTGAGTTCGTCGGGGTCTCCGCGACTGTGCTGCCGGCCACTCTCACATTCTCCAGCGGGGAGAAGAAGCAGTACACTGTGACCTTCGCCAAGAGCGGCGCCGGGACGGGGTTCACTGTCAGCGGCCTGCTGGGTTGGCCTTGCAATGGAACAATCCTGCGTAATGCAGCGGTGGTGTCCTACTAAATTTGCATCGGCGGCTCTGTGGACAGGGTCCATCGGCGGCTCGAATGCTCTCCTCTGTTTTGTTTTGCTTCCGTAATAAAATGCCTCCGCTTTGGTCGCGGAGGCTTCTATGGCGCGTGTGATGCACAGGGTTGTATTTGCCTCATGGCCCGCTGATGTCCTGCAAGGTATGTGCTCAACAAGGTGAGAACAAGTATATCCTCAGAAAAAGGAAACGCAGACCTCGGTTTAGCAACTGAGCCAAATTCGGAAGTAAAATTATAGTGTTCCCAATTCGAATTGATTTCTTAAGAGTGTACCATGGAAACTAAATATAGCTGGGCTCTGAGAAGTAGGTATTGAAATTTGGGAGGTATACATGTGACAACAAATGAAACCTTCTAAGAAGGAAAGTGATTTGAGGATGGTAAGTAAATTATACTGTTAAAAATATGTCTCATATGGCTTCGAAAATCTAGCAAGCATGGCTTCTGAGATCAAACCTCTTCACCACTCTAATTTGACTTGAAATATTCTACCAACCTTCAATATTCCTTCATTTTTCTTCCAAGAATAATCTTTCTCTGATTTCCTTGTCTTTCTTCCAAGAAAAGCTAAGCTCACATTTCAAATACTTTTAGGAACAAGCCAACTCTTACTGGTCTCCATCGTTGTACCTGTTAGAGGAGACAACTGGATTTTGTCTTGGAAGAGAACAGGAGGGGAGAACCAACAATAAAAAAAGATACATACAGACCTGACGAAGAACAAATCAGAAGGCTAGGTCTAACACGAAACACTCCAAAATGCGCTCCAGAATGATGGGTTTTACATCCCACTTAGTTCACAAGAGAGTTGTACCCCCTTAGAATATGTAAAAGTTGTGTTAGGATTTGGAGCCTCCTGCTCTTTTATTGTTAGGCTAGTATATAACCCAACAAGTCTTGAACTATTTTATTCATTATGTCTTGATGACATATGAGCCATGTTTCAACCATCTCACTTTAACATATATCTCAACCAATCATGAAAATGCTTTGTCCTAAATTTTTATTATGAGAAGATGCTGTACCTTCTTAGTGCATTGATACTTGATTAAATTCAAGCAATGCTCAAATCTGTCAATTGTGACTGTTTGGTCGAGGAATATGAAGTATTTTATGATATTTTAATTTTCCTAATGTGATATCTTCTTAATTAATCAGCCTTTAGATCTTGTGAAATCTAATACTAATACGCTTTATTTTTGCATGGTAAACTTGATTTCTGGCGAAATAAATGTTATTTAAAGTGTTTCAGTGCAGATGAACTTCAGATTGATTAAAGCTTAGCTCCTTCAACAAACCTTTCATCTAAAAACCTTATTTAGCGACCTCAAATACAGTCATATGCTTAAATTTCTATTGTGGATAATATGACAATCATTTGTAGACTTAATCCCTTGTAAATAATTTTTACTCTGAAAATATAATTCCAACCTCAGTGCAACCCTTGAGAAATCTTTGGATCCACTATAATTCTCATTATTCAAATAATATTCTTTTGATCCCTTCAATTTTTGACTTAGTTATTGATTATGATTAATTGATAGTTTGCATATTAGCTAAAGAAGTGACTATCCATTTAGTATTTGTTCATACTAATAGTTCGACAGGTTTTTTGTGTTGTACTTCTTTTGTGATATATATAGCTCCCCATTCTTTTTGTCTCTATTAATTTCTATCCTTATAATCTTTTTTGCTAAATTGGGGTCTCTCATTTAGAATTATCCACTCAATAATTTTTTAATTTTTAATATATTTTTATAGAAGTTAGCATATGACCTATGTAGAGGATTAAATAAATTTGAGGTCAATCTTATTTTTTTTAATGTAAACACACTAATTATATCACATATGTAATAACTAATATGTATCATAAAAGAGTCAAAAAGTTCTTGTATCATTGCTTTATAGATTACTTTAAGTCATAACTTGTTCTTGTACCTAAAAGCAAAAATGTTTTAAGTTTTACTTATTTAAAATATTCAAGCTAAACCATATAAATGAATTGCTCCAAATATTCATTGAGAAATTCAATCTTCACATCAGGTTGTTCTAGCCCCAAATCTTCTTATTTAATAATGGATAGCACTGCCTTTACCCAACTTCTATATGTAAATTTTTAAAGATACATTTCTCTAAGTGTCTATACTTCTTTGACAACTTCTCTATTAAACAGAATAGCATACCATATTGACTATCCTTGCCCAAAAATCCTTATGCAAATTTTCATCCAATTTTAGGAACTTTACTTTCATAGTAGTTGCCCTTTTTATTCTTTATATGATTGTGTTATGTTATGGTGTTTTTTTAATGTAAAATTTATCTTAATCATGTGTTATTCACAAGATTTTAAAATTTAATAATTTGTATATTTCGATCTATATTCATGATTATATGAACTAGGATGTATTTTTAGAAACATGATGTCTCACGATGAAAAGCATATAGCATGGTGTCTAGCTACATGATATGAGGTTTGAGGGAGAACCAAAAGTTTGAACTAAATCATCTCAAACATCTTTTAATATGTCAATTCCTTCCTTAGTAATGAACTTCAAGTTTAGCCACTAGATTTTCTCCTATCAGTGAGAATATTTAAAAATAGCAGATTGGATCCGTCAATAATAGACATAGAAATATGGGTTTTGAGTAGAAGAATAAATTGTTTTTACCCTGTGATAACTTCAAGACAGTTTATTTGATGGTGGTAAAAGAGAGAAGGGAGTTAAGAAGAGACAAGAGATGAGAAAGATTAGAGGAGTGAGAGGAAAGATGAGAAAACTCATTGATTTGATGACTTTATGAAGGCAGTAGTGGTCTCCTTTTATAGGATTCTCCTAGGCCTCAAGGATGAAATGGGCATATTCTTAAATGGGCCGTCGGTTTCTATCATATTAAAAGGTAGTTCCCTCGCTACCTTCAATCACCTCTTCTTCTCTCACCCTCTTTTTCTTCTTCTCATTCTTCCCTTCCCCAACCTCCGCTTCCGTCGACATCTCCACAGAACCATCACTGACAGACTCATCCACCTTCTGTTCTATCGCCCTCTTCTCCTCTCCCGCATCCCGAACTTCGTATTCCGGTTGGCGTATCCCATAGTCAATGCAAAAAAGAACAAGTTTTCATTTATTTTTTTTGTCTTTATTAGGTTTCTTAGTTTTGTCTTTAGTGTCCCTCTCCTCCCACTCTCTTCCAAAAATCTTTATTCTCTCCCAGAAAGTCGTCATCGTTTTTGCTAGACCCCAAGGGTCAAACTACCATCCTGCCGGCTCGGCAGAAGATCTTAAGCCTCATCACTATGACAGGCGGCCCAAGCTACCTGTGACTGACACGATGAATATGGCGGAAAGGGAGGGAGAAGACGATGTACCCCACGACAGGAGTAGACAGAGGCGGAAAGGCAGGAGAGGTCGGACGCAGGAGGGGGGAAACGCCGGCAGGAGGAGAGGAGGAAGATGCCGCGGGGAGAAGGAATCACGAAGGGCGAAGAGGGGGAAAGGGGTGATGGGACTGTTACCTTCTGGCCGGATGTACCGTAGATCGGGAATATTTTGGATCTAGAACAGCATTTTTAGGCCCAATTCGACGTAGTATGTGGTGATAGGCACAAATAAGCCTGCTTCCTCGACAGGGGTTCATGAGCCGGTAGGCAGTGGGGACACGTCCATCGGCTGCCTCAAGCTATCAACTTTCACCAAAAGGAACTACTAATCATGATAAGAGTTTTACTAAATCGAATACAATACCCTTTAAAACAAAATACGACGGCAATGATAGATGTTGATCGCCCCCATTTAGGTGTTTAAATGGGATGCAAAATTAATGTTTCGTAATCCTATTGATCCTCTTGTGTTCTAACTTGATAATTCAATTTTATTACTCCTACATTCGACGTGGCATGGCCTGATATGAACGTACACTTTATCCACACCTAAGGATGAACCGGGTAGAGTCAGGACTGGGGGCAAAGCTGATCTAAGGATTTGACTTTCGAATATAAGGATTAAGAGTCGTGATTGAAGCGCCTACCGAGAAGTTTTGACCTTGAAACGAGGTCAAAAGAATAGCCCCATCCACCTGTTACTATCTCTCTCCCTATCTCTAAATATTTTACAGAAATGCGTATAAAACATAGTTGTTTCTATGATTTATAGACACTACCTACTCCAATTTGGAGTTTCCCGCAGAGTCGTCTCAAAAAATTTCTCGTTTTTAGAAGAAATAAAAATCCTCTGAGTATAATAAACAATGGACTGGAGGGAGGCACCCATTCTCACGTTACCAAGCCGTGGTGGGTATTGGTCGAGAAAGTCAATGGGCTCGCCAATAGAAAGCCCATCCCTCGGATCCCACAAAACTGGTGCATAATTATGCAAAAATCCCTAGTCTCGTTATGTAACTCTAAAATAATTATTCCAGCCAGTTTGTTGGTGCCTGTTCGCGGACTAGTGAAATTACATGCATATACGAAAATACAAGATGGGTGGCTCCTTTCATCGGCTACGAACAGAAAATTTAGGTGAAATTCAGTAACATGGCGCTTTATCGCATACGGATATCTGCACAACGAGAACGGCTGGGTGTTAGCTGTTTCTCTCTTCGTACATCTACGTGCCTTCTTAATGTGCATCGTATTGTCGCATCTTAAAATCCATTTTCCATGACTTTTAGGCACTCACTACAAACATTTGGTGGCAGTTAGGTGACGCGACGAGAACTTGATGATTCATCAACCATCACAAGCTGTCTTTTGTTTATCATCGTGATGAATTATTTTTTAAGATAACACATTTCTCGTGCATGGCGAGCGTGTCCCATCCCACGTAGCAAGTAGACCCACACAGAATAAAGATAGTGATCTAACCTCTACAAGAACACGCTACTTGATCCATGCAGATGGATTTCCGTTGACGCGGTAGTAGGCTCGTGCTGGCTGACCAAGTACGCATCTGCGAGAGCGTTCTTTCCACCATTGGG